GGCAATTTTTTTAGATTGGGCCCTAGTAAAGTATTAATGTTTGGGTATTACATTCATTTAAAGTCCTAAGTCCTAACCTTGACCCTAATAAAAAATTTGAAGTTACCATATACTTCTAGGTTAAACTCTTGTTAGTCTGGTCCCATGCCTAATCAAATACCATTTTTTATGTGAACTTGTGTATCATTCTATTTCCTCAAAAATTTTCAAGTGGTTTCGCACATGGGGAATCTGGATGTGAGCGTGCCATTTACTTTTCTGAAAGTAAGAAAAAAGAATTTTCCCAATGACTATCTCCTTTCACATAGTTGAGCTCTGTTAGGATGGTTGGAAGAATGTTGGTTTAAGATTGAGTTTTGCACCATTCAGACGATTTGCAAGAAGGAGGGATGCCTTCCTACATAATTGGTTGCTAATTTGCCTTGGACAATTTCAAGGATTTTACCACTATTGTGAATTTAAGTTAATAGATTCAAAATGAACTGAATAGGATGCAAATTAAAATAAACTTGATGTTTATTGCGCAAAAAGAAATCAAAAAAGTAATTACACAAATTAATTTAAGTACTTGAATGTTGAAAACAACTTAAATTTACTGAGATTTGTGCTAAAACTAAAATATAAAAACTAAGGTGATAAATCACTATGAAACTAGAAAATTGAAAATTTGATGAGTTTTGTGTAGGGCTGGCTGTGTGTTGAAAAAATCAGAAAGCTTCTATTTATATGCTTCATGCGAACTGTCTCTTAACTGATCAGATCACAGATAACTCCTCAATTGAACTTCCTCTCAAATTCTAGGGTTTTTTTTTTTCTTTTAAATTTAAGTTGTAACAAATCGAATAACCTTTATCTTCCCAACTAATTTTACAAATATGCATCCCCTTAGTAGATTCAATCTCACTTTATCTATTAATACGTGACATCACTAAAAAGGTAATTTATGGTGTAAACAATGATCCCCAACACTTGATTTTATGAAAATAAATTCAAGTGTTTATAATTAAATAAATTGCATGTAAGCCCCAACCACCAGTGCCACATGTCAAACAACTCCAAGGTCTGAAAGAAGAGTCTCAAACCTTAAGGCCAAGCTTGCAGAACCAAACAAATAGATTCTCTTTGTGGAGTAGATAGAAAAGAGCTTAGCAAAGCAGCATAGCAAACTTCTTGCAAATATAGAGGCATACTTGAACGTAGTTTCCAAAATCAAAGATCAGATTTCCTCTCTCATGGCCTCTATAGATGAAACTATTGTCTCGTACTTGATTTGTAGTAGGTTGAAATATGTCACAGCCATAATCTAGCCGCTAAGACTAATCACAGCCAAATTTGGCTAGCTTACAAATTCATATCAGCACTTTTATTGAAACTCAAAAAATGCTAAATTGGAAAAAGAAAATACTATGCAATTTCACCCAATTTGACTCAACTAGAATTCTAAATATCCAAATTTACCTCTTCTAATGGATCTTGTACTTTTGCTTTTAGATCGTCAAGTTTGGCTGAAGCCAAATCTAACTCATCTAGAGTAACCTCTTCGATCAGATCTTTCTTTTCACTTTTGTGGACCAGCTCAAATCTGTCTACACTGATCCGTTTTTCTATAAGATAGGTTGCTAATTTCCTTTTGATTTCTTCCACGGCCTCCTTCTTCTAGTGATTGATTTGTTATCTCTTCATAGAATTTCTTCAATTTTTGGCTCTTCCCTCGACCTAAAAGAAATGATTGCTATAGGCCAAAGGAGTTCATCGTAAACCTCTTTCACTATACGTCTAGTAACTCTTGATATGGTATTGACAGTAATTCCTGCTAGTCTGCCATTATGATCCGTCCCAAAGAAGCGAATGGTCCCAATTTCTTCGTCATAGTAATGAGCTTCCATTGCATTGGTGTTAGCTATAAAAGATTTTTCATCAACTTTCACAACCTCAATTCTGTCGCCATTCCAGAATATCAATTTTTAATGCAAAGTTGAAGGAACATAACAACTAGAATGAATCCAATCTATCCCAAGTAATGCATTATAAGTGGCTACAATGTCAACCACTAAGAATGCACATATGAGAGTTCTATTTTCCATAGTGAACTTTAACGATAGAATTTCCCTTGAACGATTTACTCCACCAGTGAAGTTGCTGATTGTCACTTTTATTCCATCAGATCTCTCAAAGATTTGCCAATTTTGTGTAATATACAAGTTGGCAATATGTTGACAGCAGCACCATTGTCCACTAAAACTCAATTAACTGGCATACCATCCATGTGAGCATAAATGTATAATGGCCTTATATGTTTAGCCATCTTCTCTTTTGGCTTCTTAAAAATAATTTTGTCTACTGAAGCCTCATTTTCATCCTCCTTCACTGGGGTCTCAATAATTCCTTTCTTAGTCTGATCTGCCTATTGATAATTTGTAGATTTTGATTCTCCTTTGGCTTGGAAGACCAAAGGAAAGGTAAGCACCAAACAACATAAATTCACAGAAAACTCACCAAATTGGATGGTTTCCTTTTTTGTTGAATTTTCTGTTCTTCTACCACCTTGAATGTTGCTTTCAGGTCAATTTCCTCACTTGTCCCCACAGTCAAAACTTGAGGAGAAGTTGAATTTTTGGGTTGTTTTTCATCTTTTGGTGATGTTTGACTTGATGCCCCACCTTTGTCTTTCGAGACTTAGACTGATTTCATTGTCACGATAAGCGGCTGAGCTAGATCTACCAGGCCCCCCTGAGTTCTCCATCTGCTGCCAACGCCTGTCTTTTGCTCTCTTGCATTGTAAGTGTTGCCTTAAAGTTATAGGATTTTGAGCTTTAGGGAACTTTGGATGAGCTTTAGGGAACTTTGGATGAACCACCCGCTTCCATTTCTGACAAGGAGATTTAAGTGGCAGTTTCACCATCCTAGGTCACTCCCCTTATAGTTAGATTTCACAGCACTCTGACTTGGACTAGTATTCTACTGCTTCGGATCATGCCCCCAATGCCTTCTTCTCGTGGAGGATCTAATCTAGCTTAATTTTTGTGAGTTTTGGCCTCCTTAATAACCCATCTCAAGTCATTAACTGCCTCTTTCTCCTTGAATATTAAATTTCCATAGAATCGTTCTACCACAAGTGACAATGGGAGAAAAGTAATGAGATCATTTTCACCTTTAGAGTGGAGTGGACTGCCATCTGCATGTTTAGCTTGTGGTGGCTAAACCTCCTTATCTTTGTTCTTGTTTTTAGGTGGCAAGTTGCACTTCTTCTTGGATGCAAAAAAAGTGGATCTAGAAACTATGGGTGAGATAGTGGAGTCCCACTGGGCATGCCACAAAAGAATTGTTTTCTAAAAAATCCTTAAGTGGCTTCGCATGCACGGATTTTGGATGTGAGCATACCACTTGCTTTTTTAAAAAGCAAGAAAAAAGGATTTTCCCAACAACCCTCTCTTTCCACGCAGTTGACCTTCGTTAGGATGGCTGAAAGAACGTTGGTTTAAGATTGAGTTTACGCTTTTCAGACGATTTACAAGAGGAAATGATGCCTTCTTGCATAATAGGTTACTAATCTGCCTTAGACAATCTCGAGAACTTTACGATTACAGTGAATTTAAGTTAATAGATCCAAATGAACTGAATGAGATGCAAAATTAGAATAAACTTGATGTTTATTGCGCGAAAGGAAATCAAAAAAGCAATTACATAAACTAATTTGGTTTTGAATGTTGAAAACAACTTAAATCTACTGGGATCTATGCTAAAATTGAAAAATGAAAGCTAAGGTGAGCAATCACTATGAAACCAGAGAATTGAAAATTTGATGAGTTATGTGTAGAGTTGGTCATGTGTTGAAAAAATCGAAAAGCTTCTATTTATATGCTTCTTGCAAACTATCTCTTAAGCTGATTAGATCATAGATAACTCCTCAACTAAACTTCCTCCCAAATTCTAGGAATTTATGTTTTTTTTTCAATTTAAATTGCAACAAACCCGATAACCTTTATCCTCCCAATCAATTTTACAGATATCCATCTCTTTTATAGATTTGATCTCACCTTATCCATTGACACGTGGCATTACTAAAAATGCAATTTATGGTGTAAACACATTCCATTTCACATTCTCAACTGTATTCTTTCAATCCCCACACTCTGTATCTTCCACAATGGATAGGGCTCAACAGCCCGAGCAACCTGATCGCCCATCAAGAAATGTAGGATGGAGTCCCCATCCTGGCCTCGTACAGGCAGCTAGATGCTGACCTCTATCTCCATTCTCCTTATATTATCCTTTCAAGGGAAGAGCTCGTTTGTATGCACTCCAGACCATCATTTTAACCTTCTCCAAATTACATGAACAACGCCATTCAAACGCCCTCGGAAAAGCTACATGGTGATTGAGAACCCCTTCGCATTTCACAGGCACCATAATACCCAGAACGAGCAGGTTCTCGCCGTTTCTTGTGTGAACAACCACGACCATCCATCCTCCCCATCTCTCCAGCTTAAAGGTATGGACATGATCAGCTAGGCCCCCCACACATTTAATTTGGCCAATTAGGCTTCATACACGTTAGAAGTCTGTTCCATATGCATCATTAAAAATCAGCCCTCAATAGCTCGGCTCCAAAAAATGCTAGTTTTAGTAATTATCAAAACAGAACCCGAAAATGAATTTGAATTCAACATTTCTAAATTTCAATTGTTAGTTTCATTGTCAGAGATGTCTGAATGAAATTCAAGTACTTACCAGCCAGAATGCATTGGGTTACAAAGATTGATATAACTCATTAGTTAAATACAGAACAGACACCTATCCCTGAATTTTTTTGGCCAACGGCATCTATCTTTGACAGTTCGTGAATTTAAGGAAATAAACATAACTTTCTTAAAATCCATGACTATGTTATTCTTTCAAGAAATCAAGGAGGTTGAATAATAATGTCTGTCATATATATATCAAGCATACAAGAGCTGAATCACAGTTTAACATCAACATTGATGTGAATAGGCAATAAACTATAGAAACTAAAAATTAAGAATTACTGTCAAGAAGATGCCAAGTCTGACACCTAATTTATCAGAAGCTATGCATCCGAGATGAAGATGCGCTTTTGTATGTCTGAGAATGTCTTTACATCTCTTCCCCACAACCTGCTTATTCACATAAATGTAAAGAATCATCTATATTATCCTCACTACCTTAACTAAGAGAAGTGATTTTGCTAGTTCTCTTGATTCAAAACAAGAATGGAGGGCAGCCTTCAATTGTAAATGCAAAACTAAATGGTTAAGGTCTTAATGACCATGGAAATCAAGAAATAAGGCATCTAAACAAGATTAGGGTTGGGAAGTAAACTTTACCAGCAATCAATTCCGACAGCATTGGCCCCCATCTTATCTGCCCTTTCATCGTCTCCAATGTGTACAGACCTGCCAGCCTCTACACCAACTTGATCTACAATATAATCAGCCACAAGAACTTATGAGGAATGCTTCAATTAGGGTCCCCGCTCCATGCATTACTATGATGCAGCACAACAGTGGGGTGTCAAAATAAATTTTCCCTTCTTGAGGTGTTACTTTTGGTTGAAGATGATAAGATAAATTTTCATGTCTGCAAACTACTGGTGATTGATAGAATTTATAGATGGGGCAGTTCTCTGCAAAAGCATGGAATTAATCCTATGAATGTCATTACTGCTCCAAATGGTTAATCCGTGCTTTTCTATTTTATGTATACCACCATGGATGCATCCCATTCCATAACATCCAAATGAATCCTTAGAGAAAGCAGTGTAGCTTTGTGTTTAAACCACGAAACAATTTCAGCAGTAAGACACAATCTCAACTTCCTACTGAGAGAATGATATGCACATAAACTGGAGCCAAGGCATCATCAGATGGAAAGTAAGGGCACCAAACATTATAATTAGAAAATCAGTTATCAAGTCTAATAAATGTGCTTCAATTAGGAATAACCCTCCTCCTCTCTTTGCTTTATCATGAGGGAGTGTAAATAGGGTTTTTCATATAAAATTTCCCTTATATTGTCTTTCATTGGGTTAGGTAAGGGTTAAATTTCCTTTTCCATGTCCTTCGTTAATATGTTAACACACTGATCACTTATGGACTTTAAGTAGTAAATGAACAACTGGTAGAATACTATTAACTTTGATTAATTATTTGAAAGAAGTGATTCCATGATCCTGTCATTATAATACAGTGAATGGGATTTAGACCCAGGCAATCCCATGGTGAACAAAAAAGTTCAAGTTTTTCATTTTAAACACAACAACCTTTCAATAGTATAAGATGCATACTTATTCTCGTGTCCTAAGTGGATAAGAAAAATGTGCATACACTGATAGCCAAGGTAGTCATTTATGAAATGGAATTTAAGGAAGGGAAGCACTGCCAGGTAATTAAAACACAGCTACCCAGGTGACTTATAAAAAGGAATTTGGTTTTATAATACAGACCTAAAGCAGCTTTAAATATCCTTGCGTCTGGCTTTTCATATCCAACCTCTGAAGAAATGATCACAGCATCAAACCTGGAAAAAGAAAAGCACAATGTTGTCATATATAAAGAACCAGAGGAAAAAAAATTCTCTGGTTTAAACCCCTATATGTTCCCACAACACAGGCACTTTGTAACTAAATGTTAAAATAGGCAAGCTGAATAGGATGACGCCTAAGTCATCATGTACATAGACTAGTGTACCTTACATAACTCCACAGAGGTTAAGACAAATTTTGCAGGAAACAACCAAACTAGGATGCATTTGGGATTTACTTTCACAGTGCTCATCTGCACAGGCATGCACTATTAAAAAAATTAATTTGTTATAATTAAATTGATTTTAATTAATGTCTTGTATATTTTAGTTTTTATACAGATATACAACACTTTTAAAAAATACTTATCAAACATAACATAGTTTTTGATGATAGCAAATCACAAAAACAACCACAACCACAACACCACACAGCAATCCCAAAAAGATCCTTAATCTTTCAAGAGTTGAAAATATGGTTACTCCCATTTACAGAAGCTTGGACAATAATATTAAAATTAGAGTTCTTTCATACTAAAATGATAAAGAGCATCTTTCAACCTCATCCCATGAATGGGTGATGCATTACTAAGAGAAATTAATTTTGAAGCCAAAAGAGCTTAAATTGGAAAAGAGGAAAAATACTTACAGATCTATGACATTAAGGTCCTTCAACAGCTTCCTTAATCGGGTATCAAAATTGGACACAACAGCCATTTTAACTGTGCCATAATTCATCTTATTAGAGAAATAAATGGCAAGAAATATATTTGCAGCCTTACCATTATTTGTAGTGATAGACAAGGAAGAAGAATACTTTATGAGTATAACCTCCAGCATCTTTGAGAAGGATTATAGTTTGATGTGCTCCATCCGGAAGATGCCAAGCATCCCCATTTGCATAATACTACACAAACCAGGGAAAGGCATATCAATTAAGATTTCCCAAAATGAATTAAGCCGCAGTTTATTAGTCATAGGTGAGGTCCTGGATAATTAGATTCAGCAACCTTGTTATATGCAAAATATTTTTATTTTATAAATGTTCAAGTCATGAGCATGAATACAGCTTGGTTAGTCTCAAAAAATCACCTGGTAGACTTCTTCAAAGTAATCTTCATTTGCACAACTAGTGGCTTCAGAAACAAGTTTTTTCCAGAAGGGCCTCCCATCTCCCTGTTAATGGTACCATTAAAAAAATGGAAAGAACTTCAGTTAAAATTCCTGAAGCATCATAGAAGTGTGTTGCAAAAACTTCAATAAACTAGATGGTGGCAAATTCTGTCACATCATGTGTAATTGAATGGCTTAGAAGTGCAGAAAAATGTTGCTTTCTATCTTCTGTAATGGAAATAATTCCTTGCAAAGGGGGAAATAAGAAAAGCTTGCATGCAATGACTATAGCTTCTGTTTCTGTTGATGATTTGTATCAGTTTCTAAAACCATTTATGGTTGTTCTCAGAACTTCTACAAAAACTACAGATAGGCCAAACAGACTCCCATGTCATGCATGCCTAGCTAGTAAGGTGAAAAGATAGGTCCTATATCTCACCAGTTCAGCTATTTAAACTTGAAAATACCATGTTTTCCTTTCGATAAAGGTGTCCAGGAAAGAATTATTTGGTAAACTAAGACCATCGCAAATGGGATTAATCTTCCTATATGGATACTCCTTTATGAATCTTTTATACTGAATTGCAAAGTATAGAGCAAGAAACCTGATAACGAAGCTTCTCGGGCCATGAAGCAGAAAAGGCTCTCTTGAATCCTTTCTTTATGTCAGATGGAGTTGCTTTTAGACCTAAATAAATTAGCAGAAATACAGTTTTAATAAACATTTTGAAAGATGATTTCATACAGCTCAAAAAATAAGCACTTGATTTCTTGAACCCTTAAAATTGAAAGAAAAGATAAGATAAGATTAAAAAAAAAAAAACCCCTCCTGGCTAGTGCAAGACCCATGTTCATAACATATCTAAATCAAAAACAGAAGGTGTTATGGTGGCTTCTGCTTACAGAGAAATGCTTGAAGAATAAATGTCAGGTTCCCTCAAGCTCAACTTCAAAAGCCAATGCAAAACGAATTAAACTAAAATCCCATTAATTCCCCTAATCACCTCACAGAAAATCCTTTGCTCCAAAAAGGATTAAACTGACCGTATTTGGCTCCGATGGAGGCGTAAGTCTCTTCCACAGGCCTTGCCAATTGTAAGAGGGTACCTCCAGCGTCCAACAGCACCGCGTCATATGCTGTTTTAACCGAAATTTTCCCTGGAGAGATTTGAAAAAAAGAAAGTTAGAAAGTTTGGATTTTGAAGGTAAAATTTTAGAGAAAAGAGAAACGGAAAGTGAGAACCAGAGTGGATAGCCATGGAAGAAGAACAACGAAGGGGCTTGAGTACTCTTCGGAGAGCGTTACCAGGGCAGCATTTCACCAAACAAGCCTCCATTTCGCCACCGGCGAGAGGTAGTTTACGCCTAGGCGATCGGTACTAGGCTAATGGTGGATGGATCGCAATCTCGCATCGTACAATTAATTTAATTGAATATAACCTTTTTGAAGAGTAAAATTTTTTGTTAGCCCAAATTTTTTTTATGAATGGTTCATTAATATCCTTAATAATATGCTTCAACAATTTCTAACCTTCAACTCTTCAAGTGCCTTCGGTTTGAAGGAAATGAAGTGAAGATACAATATGGATGAATTTTTTTTGATTAATTAATTTATAAGATATAAAAATATTAATTTAATTAATTAATTAAAAAATTCATCTTTTTTTTTTCTAATTTCTTTTAAACTAAATATATTATTAATACATAGTTAGAAAAACTTAAAAATAAGAAGGTTTTTTTTAATATATATTTGTACTTTAAGAGCACAAATTAAAAGTGTAATTAATACACTATTTTAACAATTAATTTATATTAAACAATAAAAATTGACTTTTAACTATTTAATTAAAATCATATAAATGACAATTATATTAAAATTTATATCAATTTTTATATTTTCTCATATAAATTAGAGATTAAAAATATATTAATTATATTCTTAATCTTAATCTATGTCCTTAATTGTACAAATTAAAAAAATAAATAAGAAATACCTTAAGTGGTGTTTCAGAATAATAGTGTTAGAAAATAAACATAATGGTTTAAAGATACTATCTTCTAAAAGTTCAAGACTTGAGATGTGATTCATCGATGAGATATCAAGTCAAAGCAATAAGGGCTTCAACGCTTAAAAAAGCACTATAATGTTAAAATTGCAAAAATATGCAAAAGTTTAGACCTAACTCCCGGATATCTCCTAGCTTTATCTCGTGTTAAATGAAAGAACGCCGCGTTGTGGGGTTTTGGAAGAAGAACATCAAAGACGAGCAAGGCAATGGCAACTGAGCTGGAAGAACTAGTGGATTTCCTGTCTTCTCCTTCCCCACAAGTAAGTTTCCGAATTCTTTTCCACCCTATTCATCGCCGGCGAATCACCGGAAAATATAAATCAGGATATGATATCTCATTATTTGATCGAATTGAGCTGCGGTTTGCTAAATTCCAAGTTCCATTTTTGGCCATTACTTTTCATAGTTTCGTGTTCCTTGGGTTTGCAGAACTTAAATAGAGCTAGAAGGTTATTTTTATTTTTATTTTTTTTTTAGTGTTTCAAACAGTGTCTACTCTTAAATTTAGAGGTGTTGTTTCAAGGAGTTTCTTGTTGCCTAATTTGTTTAATTTCTAAGTGTCTCTGCTCGATTTTGGAATTGTACAATCCACTATCTTTTCCCCTAATAACGGTAACATTTATGATTATGAAATTCTTAGGTGAAGAAGGTGGCAGTTGATATTGTTCGGGGATTAACTGGGTCTGAAGATGGGTTGCAGTCCCTTTCCAGTTATGCCAAGATTCTGCTTCCATCATTATCTCGGCTCTTGAGCGAGAAGAAGGTCTTCCTCCCTTCCACAATTCAGTGTTCTATTAATTCATTGTTGTCAGTCGTCTGGTTATTCTATGACAATTTTAAATAACTCAAATAGATTGTAGAATTTTGTAGGTTATGTGTTTAATATGGATGGTACAAACGTATTTTGCTTAAAAGGAATAACTTTGTGATTTTTTTACTCGAGTGGTATTCATGAAGTGATTGGCTGTGGCTGCAATGCTGCAGTGTTATACTTAGTTTGAACTGCTATATTGGTAAACCAAACTGGTCTTTATGTTTCAGGATGTTTCAGAACCTGCAGCAGAAGCTCTGGTAAATCTGTCACAGAATGCAGAGATGGCTGCTAAGATGGTTGAAACAGGAATGATTAAAATGGCTATGGATTTGTTGTATAAGCCGGATTCCTGCATTACTCAATTGTTGGTCATGCTTCTAGTTAATCTAACACAGTTGAATGCGGGTATTTCTTCCTTAATTCAGGTGCTTTCTCTTTTCTTCATGTGATTCTCATCAATCATTTCAGCCATTCATAGTGAAAATTGTAACTCAGCCAATTGAGAAAAAAAACTTATTCTTAGGAAGCTGGAGAATTTAGAATTTTTTCTGTTTTAAGTCAATAATTTCAATTATTAGGTTCCATGGAAGATATTTTCTAGCTTGCTGTCATTCTTTGCCAATAATTCAATTATTCAATTACTTATGGTCTTGTGTGCTTTTTAGACTGGAGATGATAAGATGCAAGGGCTGTATGTTATGAAGCTAGTGAGATCATTCTGTAGATCCTCGAATGAAAGCAGAGGTACGATTTTTCTTCATGTAAATTGTGTGAAACCAGCATTATTTTTTGTTTCTATACTAAAGTTCATTTCTAGCTTCCAACAAAACAAACATTACACGTCTATTTTTATTCCTAAAGAAGAAAACTATCCTAGTGAGACATTGACACAGCAGTGGCTTCAGGACTGTTCCCAAAAGCAACATTTTTAACCAATTAATTCTTTGCAAAATCTTTGAAGCATGTGCTACATCTGTTGAAATGACCTATAACATGCACTCAAACTCCATGTAATTTTTAAGGTTGTTCTGAGTTCTGATTGTCAATTTAAAAAGTTTAAGTTTATCTCCTTCTGTTTAGACTTTTTGGTTAAAATGAGATCCTTAATATATCCTCCATTTTCATGATTGTTGGTTTGTGCTAATGAGCATGTACATATATATGTGTCTTAAAGTGTTGGTCTGACATTTTTTTGTTACACATCTATCAGATGATCCTTTTGATCATGTTGGTTCCATACTTGTAAACATCTCACAGAAAGAAGCTGGAAGGAAAATGTTATTGGATCCTAAGCGAGGCTTGCTGAAGCAGATTATTAGACAGTTTGATTCAGCCCAGCCATTGAGAAAGAAAGGAGTATGTGTAAATGATTATAGTTTTTTTTTTTTTTTTTAAAATAATGCGTTGTGCTTGCTCCAAAGTATGGAGGTTTCCAACATTTTTGCAAAATCTTGTAGTTACCTGACAATATTCTTTACTACTTTTAGGATCATGTGAAATTTCATTATTTTGGATCATTGCAACAATCATAGTAAGTTCCCTTAGATATACTGCAAATGTTACTCTATTAGAGACGTCAAAAAAGTTCATTACCTTAATCTAATGTAGACCAAAAGGGATACTTTAAAGGATATTACTGATGGCAGTAAATTTTGTTGTCCTTGAATATTTTGGAACATTTTCTTCTGGAGGATTGTTCAGATGAATGAACTATTTGAAAGAAGCTGTTTCTAGAATCATTGAGAAGCTTTCCTCCCTAAACAAAGTGTGGTAGATTGATAGGCTAATGTGAGAGTTTGATTAGGCTTATGGAGTTGTAGGCATAATCACATTTAAACACAAAACTTGTTCCATGGGTGGGGCAGGCTTTTGCATATACATTGGTCTCGAGCATGTTGAAAAGCAGTTTTTTGTTTGTTTGTTTAGGTATCTGGAACAATCCGGAACTGCTGTTTTGAAGCAGAAAATCAACTTCAGGATTTGCTTTTAATATCAGAGTTTCTCTGGCCAGCTCTACTTCTGCCTGTTGCTGGCAGCAAGGTAACATTTTTGTTTACTTTTCTCAAAAAATAACAAAGAATTGTCTTTTGTTGGTATACAATTTTGAAGGTTGTGAGTTGCTTATTCGGATTCAAAAGGAAGGCCACTAATAGTTGAATTACTGTTTTTGTATGTCTTGAATAGAAATTGCTCAAATTAATCCAAAAGTATAAATATTTTCATGAATTTGTTTTCACATCTTCCAGTAGTAATGGTTATATTCTCTGTCACTTGCAATATTTGATAGCCTATTATTAATTTACCCCAAGTTATTTTTTTATGTCTTGCAATGGCAAGTACATTAAACTTGCTTTCCATTGGTTATGTTGCCTCATCACAGATTTATAATGAACAAGACACATCAAAAATGCCACTCGAGCTTGCTAGTGCCCTCTTGATTGAGCGTGAACCAGTTCAGGATCCTGAAATTCGTGTTCAAGTACTGGATGCTATTTACTTGATCACTTTACAGGTTAAATTATTGACACTCTTTTCTGTGCTGATGTAATCAGTTAAGTTGTGTTGCCTTTGAGAAACTGAAGTTTTCTACTACTACAACTCAAATACTATTGACCAAAATAGTATCTGGAGATGCTTTACATTTAAACTGTCCTGGGGTCTTATTTTCATTTTCCACTCATTCACATTTGTCATTACAAATTATTTTGGATGGTGTTTGGGGGGAATGGATAGAGATTTATTGTAAAACCACATGGTGGTGGACAAATAAAGCCATTAGATGGACTAACTTTTCACTAGTTAAAAATTACTAGGAATTGAAAAAATGAGTATAATTAGGTGATGATTGTAGAACTACCGATAGATGGTGTTTTTTATTATAAAAGCATGCATGATGCTGCATTAGCCAAGGCTGATCTGATATGGTAATTGACTTACAATACAATCTGCAGTTTCCTTGTCCTGAATAATTGTAGTTTTTCTCCAAGGCATTATTCTTTGTTCTTCCTTTCTATACGGTTCATTCCCATCCTGTTGGGTAAAGTTATTGCTTCATGTTATTCACAAGCATGACATCTGTACTTTTTGGTCCATTCAGGATGCTGGACGAAGAGCCTTCTGGTCTATCAATGGACCAAGGATATTACAAGTGGGGTATGAAGATGAAGAAGATCCCAAAGTAATGGAAGCATATGAACGAGTTGGTTCCTTGGTACGTAACCCGGCTCAGGGTCCGTTTGGTGTAGCTTTTCAAGTGCTTTAGCTTTTTGACACTATTTATGTTTCATAAATTTGAATTTTCCTCCTTAAGGTTTACATTTTTAAATAATTTTTTTAATCTTAAAAAAACTCTAAACAATAAAAAATCAAAAGCTTCAAATTCAAGTTTTTTATAAACTTCTTTTTTACTCACTATTTTTTTATCTTTAAAAGCAACTTTTAAATTTTTCTTCCAATAAAAATTTAAACTTATTGCTCATAAACAATACAAAAAAAGCAAAAGCTCCAACAAGCTGCACCAAACAAGTCCTCGTCCTAACTTGTTGCTGCATCTCTTTTCCATTGTACATTATTGATGCCATAGGAATATTTACTTCTTTTCATGTTTACCAGTTGGTTAGTGGCGACGGGACAGAAGAACCATCAACAGAGACATCCAAGTAGCAATTTACCCTGTCATCTGCTTCACCCTGCACTAGATGCAGTTGCGGGTTTTATAGGCCAAATCTGGGGAGAAGTCAGTATTTCACTGTGCATTTTATGATTTTCAGGTTTAATTTGAGAGTGTTGGTCTGGAGCTACAGCTGTTGATTTTATGATCTTTTATCGTCTCAAAAATATATAAAATATATTTAATATATATAATATTTCTTTTGATTAATATTTTATAGTATTTTTAAAATAGTAAAAAAAAAAAAATAAAAACTAAAAACTAAAATACTGAGAAATATTGTTAAATGAAGCTTAGTGTGATCAATATTCAATATTTTGATTGACTGAAAATAATAATAATAATACTTTGAGTAACCAACGATCTAAATAGTTTAGTGGTAATCTCTTTATGTTGAAAATAAAAAATCTTGAATTCAAGTGGTATGATATGCAGATGATGTGAGATACAGGATGGAAGAGAGTTTTCTGTACAACCAACATAAAAATAACAATAATAATAATACTTTGAGTAGTGACAGAAGTTGTAGTAGCCTAGAGATGTTATTTGTATTAATTTGATTTATTTATAACTTCTGCTGCTATTTAAATAATAATTACTGAAACATTGGGTTTTTTTCGATTTATTTTTATTCTCAATTCTCAAACCTACCAGCTAATAATTATAGCTTCACAGTAAAGTGTAGCTATTTCAATTGTTCCATTTTATATAAGTTATTACTAATTAAGAAAAATAAACATGAGCAATTCAAGTCATAACCTAACTATTTAGTAGTAATTTTTTATGCATATGAAGTAAGATAAAAGACGTGAGAAAATTATCTTTTATTATGTAATTAAGATTAAAAAAATAATTTAACTCATAAAAAAACATGAACAATTAAAAAACGCATAAAATTGATTAAATTATACTGCATGTAACTTTTAATGGAGGGGTAGAGCCATTCAATTTAACTCATAAACTTTATCAGATATAGGTAAACCTCTTAATTGTAAAACTTCTCGTTTTATTCAATAATTTTCATTTTATAATGAGACATAATTTGAACTATAAAAGAAAAAAGAAAAAAACAAATCTCATAGTAGTAATAGTAATAAGCAAATGATTTAAAAATAAATTTTTTAATAATATTTTTTAATATAATTTTATATATTATTTAAATAATTAAATTTTTTATTTATTTCAACCAAAAATGTGAAAAACACAATCCACCATTAAACAATTCACGAATTTCTGCTCCAAGTCATCCATCCCCAGTTTTACCTCCAAAATGGCAGAAGGTGCAATTCAGCTCCTCTACTATACAGAATCCGCGTATCAGCCCTTTTAGTTAACTATGACATCATAAAGCGTAATCTTTTCGTCTGCCTTTCAATTGTCCCATTGATAGGGATGAGTCGGTGGTGACTTGGACAAAAAATGATTTTTCGAAGATAAATTAGTATTTAATTATAAAAAATATATATTATTCTCAATTCTTAAAATAAATTAATATTATAATTTTAAATTATATCATTTTATTTAATTAAAATTTAATTTAAAAT